GCCCACCAAAGGGTGAGTCACCTTGGCAAGGCCACTTCCCTCTCTAACCTTTACCCCTGCATGGCCCACAAAAGGGTGAGTCAAGTTGAAATGACAACATCCTTCTCTAAATTTTACCCCTGCGTGGCCCACAAAAGGGTGAGTCAACTTGGCATGGCCACTTCCCTCTCACACGCCTAGGGGAAGGTAGGACCCTACAAAACACAGAGGGAAGGGGGAGGAGGGATTGGGTGACGACTGTGTGACAACCTCAGTGAAGGCATGAGTGACTAAGTCAGCAAAGAAAGAAGTAAGTATGTGGCCAAGTTAATGAATGAGTGAGTGAAAGAAAGAAAGAAAGAAAGAAAGAAAGAATGAATGAATGAGTGAGAGAGTGAGTCAGTGAGTGAGTCAGTGAGTGAGTCAGTGCGTGAGTGAGTGAATGAGTGAGTGAGTGAGTGAGTGAGAGAGGGAGAGAGAGTGAGTGAGAGAGTGAGTGAGAGTGAGTGAGTGAGAGTGAGTGAGAGTGAGAGTGAGGTTGAGGCAGCACATCCGCGTGTACAGACGAGGCATCCCACTCGCGTGTACAGACGAGTCACCTTTCGCGCGTACAAACGAGGCGCCGCCCCCCAAATAGGGCAAATTTGTTTTGATGCAGCAAAGAGCTTATATACTCTTGACAGCAAAACTTACAACTCTTCTTAACACATGCCCCCGATTGTAACCCTTAAGTCGGACTCGCACCTGCGCCACAGGACTTTGCCACTTCTGGAGGCAAGCGACGAATGGCTATGAGCAAGGAATAGTCCATAATGTTCTGACCTTTGAAGCAAGTGGCACAACAAAGAGCAAAATAAAGCCATGGACACGCGCAAAAATTGGAATGAAACCAATGCTGACTTGACTATACATATATCCGCCGACCCCGGCCGACGCAAGGGGGAGCGCGCCAGGGAATAATGATAGATCCGCCAGAACTCAATCGTTTGGAGCAGAACTCAATGGGTTAAAGCCGTGGCGAAGGGGTGGTTTCAGATGCTTTTGGGAGGCTGGAAAGCTTTTGGCAGGCTGTTGGTGGAGCTTTTTGGGAGGCTGGTTAGTGGTGGAAAATGCTAGCAAATTGTTTTTTTTCTAGGGATCCAGAGCGTCCGTTTGACACCGAACGTCCGAGGAATTGGGGCTCGTTTGGAGC